ATCGGTTCTTGGCCCACAAGCCCCATTTGTTGCCTTAGCCATTTGAGATTGAGTTTTCGAATTTCGACACCATCCAAATATATGTGACCACTGTCTGGATCATAAAACCTCTGTAGTAGACTTATTACAGTTGACTTACCACTTCCACTTTCTCCGACAAGAGCACATGTCTGACAAAAAAAAAAATAATATCCGAATATAGTAAAGCTCGAGCATAATCGATATATGCTATGTTCGTAAGTTAAAGGAGCAAGATTCGAAGAATACCTTTCCAGATGATATGTGCAAGCTCAGATTCTTGAAGATTTGAATATCGGGCCGTGTGGGGTATTTGAAGCTAACGTGTTGGAATTTTATATCACCTTTTAAATTGTCGAGTTTTAGACCGTCACAACCACGTGAGTCGATCAATGATTTCCGGTCGAGGATTTCGAATACGGATGCAGCCGAGTTCTTGAACTTGTTGAAATCTGCTAGGAGTGTGCTGCTCTGTGCAATGCCTAGAGATGACACTTGTAATGCAAAGAAAACCTGCAATATAAGACGTTACTCTTTGCATTCACTAGTTTTGTAAACTTTAAGGTTGTCTTTTTTTGTTTGTTTTTTTTACCTTAAAGACTTCACCGAACGTTGCTTGTCCACGGTTTGTGAGGACAGCTCCAACGTAAAAACAGAATGCGTATATAGAGAACAATACGAAATTAGCGAAGCCTAAACCGGCCCCACCCGCAATCCCGTACCAAATTACTTGCCGTTTCGGAGCTTTACATTTTCTTCGGTACATCTCCATCACTTTATCCTCGGCAGAGAAGGATGCAACAGTTCTAATGCCTCTAATCGCATCGCTTGCAACTTGACTTGCTTCTTCAAATATCACCTTCATATATTACCAAAAAAAAATTATATTTATTCGTATTGCCCTTGTGCTGGATTTTCAAGAAACACGCCTCGGAACAAAAAAAAGTACAACCTACCTTGTTAGTACCTTCCTTAACGAGTTTCATACGGAAGTATCCTTCTACGAGCATAAGCGGTACAACGATTACGACAGTGAGTGCTAGCTTCCAGTTTGTCATGAAAGCTATCGAGAGACCTACTATCGTGGTTGCTACATTTTGTACAGCTAACGCCAGCGTGTCGCCCGCAAGGCTTTTCACAGTCGACGCATCGCTAGACAGCCTTGCTCCCACTGCGCCACTGAGCATCAAACAAAAATATTTCACACGGGAAAAACGAAAAAAAAAAAAGAAAAACTAACTAGAGTTAATTTTAATCAAACGTTATGTACCTCGTGTTAGCAGGGTCGTCGAACCAACCGATTTCTTGGTGAAGTACCTTTTCGAATAGCGAGGATCGGATTCTCTGTACCAGTTTACCACCTGAAACTCCAAACATATAGTTCTGAATAGGAGCTGCAACGAAAACTACTGCACCGACGGCTATGAAAATTAAAGCCCAAAATCGAGAGTCCTTGTTTAGTTCATCTGGCGTTTCAAAGAATATTCCAAATGCTGTTGCTATTAAGAGTCCGAATACAGGGAAAGCTGCACCGTGTACAGCTGCAGCTAAGGATCCAATGAGCAGAGCTGGTAACTCGGGTGTATTTAAATAGGCCAAGCGTTTAATGGACACGTTCTTTTCGTTTTTCACATCCGTTTCGTATATTTCAACTGCCTCGTCTGTAGTTTTAGTGTCGTGTCCGAAGCTAAAGCACCGGTTACTCAACGATCCTATGCTTGATGAAAACCTTTTCGATAATTTCTTGCCCGAAGACATAATCGAGGAATCTGTTTTATTTGATATTGGATCCAATTTTGCTACAATGTTAATATGCCCACTTTTGTTTCCCTCTTGCATGTAAAGAAGCTGGTGATATGCCCCGTCGGGGATTTGAATCAAGTCGTCATGAGTTCCTATATTGAGTGAAAGATAATATAAGTAACTTCAATTTGTAGCTAAAATGATAAAGGTTCATTTTTATGCGTTAATTTCCTAAAATCAAGCTACATTTATCGAGTTGCTTAATACTTGTGCAAATGTGAAAAGAGACGATTATTAAGGAATGGTGCGAGTAATAAGTAATAATTTTACCTTGCTCAACAAGTTTCCCAGCATGTAACACAGCTATAAGATGAGCATTTTTAACAGTGGATAAGCGGTGAGCAACAACCACAGTCGTTCGATCGGGCATAACTTTCTCGAGAGCATACTGTACTCTGCGTTCAGACGCTGCATCCAGAGCACTCGTTGCTTCGTCCAGAAGAAGAATTCTCGGGTTTTTCAGAATAGCTCTGGCAATAGCAATTCTTTGCTTTTGCCCTCCAGATAGCTGCGTCCCATTTTCGCTCACCATTGTATCAATCCCCTGTAGTAAAAACAGAACCTCTCTAGTCATTAATCGAAACCAAACAACTAATTATATACGTTCAAAAAGGAAAAAGAAGCAAGATTACGTTAGGTAATTTGTCGATAAATTTCGCGCAATTAGCAAGCTCGACTGCAGATGTAATCTCTTCATCAGTAGCACAAGGTTTGCCGTATAGTATATTTTCCTTCACAGTGGTCGAAAACAAAACGGGCTCTTGGCTAACGAGCCCCATTTTCTCTCTTATCCATCTTAGCTGATACTTGTTCAAATCAATACCATCTATTAGAATCTTTCCGAAATCAGGATCATAAAACCTTTCAAGCAAACTGATAATGGTCGATTTCCCACTCCCACTCTGCCCCACCAAAGCTAACGTTTTCCCTTTACGAACACTTAACGAGAGACCAGAAAAAACCTGCACGAACGGCCTCGATGGATAGCTGAAATGAACATCTTTGAATTCGATTTCGCCTTCAAGATTTTCCAACACGACTCCACTTTTGTCGCATGTATCGATTAGAGGTTTACGGTTTATAACCTCGAACATCGTGCATGCTGCAGCCTGCCCTGCTGAAAATGCACCGAGGCATGGAGAAGTCTGGGCCAGTGACCTGATTAATTATATATTTCAAGAAACATTTTTTTCATATAAAATTCGTTTCAAGACATACGAGAAAAACTTTTTTTTTTATATAAGACATGATTGAATAACTTACGATCCAGCAACCATGATTGCGAGAATTACGTTAACGACATCTCCACCGTTATACCCTTTGTCTATGATCAGCCTTGATCCATACCATACAGCAAACGCGTAGCTCGTAAAGGTAATTAATAGCATCGAACCAAGTCCGATCCCTGAAACCAGCCCTTGTTTGGCACTTGCTTTATAAGCAATTTCCAGCTTTTTGTTGTACTTGGCAATAGCTTGTGTCTCTCCGCAGAACGATGCAACCTATAACACGAAACGTATACCGTGGAATTAGAAGATGAAAAAATGTAAATATTTGACGGTTTTTTTTTAATTTATTTATTACATACTGTTCTAATAGCTCCAAGTGTTTGATCCACTACATTTCCAGCTTCTGCATAAGCTGCTTGTCCATTTGCAGACATATTTGAAGTTAAGAAGGCAAGGGATCCTCCGATCAGGACGATTGCCGGAACACATGACAGTAAAACTACCGACAAAAGCCACCCTCGTGCGAACGCAATAATGAACCCCGAAATGAAGGTTGATGCAAATTCTATGAACTTTCCAACCTGCCATAAAATAAATTCATCATTTTTAGTTTTTTTTTTTAAAAGTAAAATCGGATGTCGGAAAAAGCAAGCAAGAGTTGTGTGATGATTGATGAAAGATTTACCTTTTCTCCCATGGCGTCTTGAATGAGAATGTTATGTCCGGAAATAGTGTTCATCACTTCTCCGGTTGAGGTTTCGGTGTCGAAGAATGAGGTTTCTTGCCTTAGTAATGATTTCAAGTACAGAGCTCTTATTCGACTCGATTGCCTCTCACCAGACACCATCCAACAGCTTACCTCTGCATTGATTATTTATAAAATATTACGAAACGTTTATTCATAATAATAATGTTTTCAATCGGTTTGAAGTAATTAACATCGTACATCTTGATTCTTGAATTAGTTAATTACACATGCATGCCGGTGTTTAAATGAACTTACGTAGAAATCCGGCAATCCCTCCACCAATAGCTATGAATAAAATCTTAAGAGACACCTGCAAATAATTAAAAATAAACCACATTTAGTAATTAGTATGGCCACAAGCTATTACTCTACAATTTCACACACACACATAAGCGCGCGCGCACGCACGCACGCACACCTTAGAAACTTGATGGAGGAGTTGGGTATGATTTGGCTGGGCCAAAGAATTAACAAGTTGGGAAAATGTAAGTGTACTAATAGGCTGCGAAGCGCCATTTGCAATGGCTCCTACGCTCCCGATAATCATCAAAATAATATCAAATTTATCTGCATAACGAAAAAGCTTATAGAACCCGACTTTTGCTGATTTTTCTCTACTCAAATCCATTAATTATATTTCTCTGCAAATTAAATGGCTACCTTACCTTATATCTATCTCTATTTATATGTATTTATCTTCCATGCATGTAATAATTATTTAAATAGCAGAAAAATCCAACTAGTCCTCTACCTTATTGGGGGGCTCTAATGGAATAACTATTTTAAATGAAACGACTTGTTAAAGAATACGATAAACATACGTTGCGTGCATTACCAGATTCAGTGTGTCCTGTCTCGATTGTTATAAATGCCCGTTGGCGCTGTTTTAAAGATTTGAGTTTGGTGCCGAATAGTAGATTACTATATGTTACACATATGTTCAGTACATGTCTAAATCAAACAAATACACAATGTTCAAATTCCCGTTTAGACAATCCTCGTTGTAGTTTCTATTTACAGAAACTAGTGTACTAATATCTAAGATGTGGTTTGTATAACATTTTTAATACCTTTTACTGCTTTCCACCAGTAAAAAGGATCGATTAACCGAAAAGACTGGAGCACTGACTTGAAGAAAGATGGATTATAACCTACATTGCGAGATCGAAATTGTACAATTTGACGGAAATCAACTAGAACCGAACAGGAATCGAGTATATAATTTATGAACTTCAAAAGTTTATACTTGCATTTCTGCTTTACTAAACTCAGTTTTGAACACGAAGAAAAAAGTCAATAACAACCGACGTCTTCAAAATGCTAAATCATCAATTTGCCCGAATTTAATTCATTCTTGTTTTTGTACTGACAGCTAGCTTTACTTGCTTTAAGTCAATCTTGTCTGCAACTGCAAGTGAGAAAAACTGAAACACGTAGGTGTGTATGAATACAGCTTTCCTTTGCTCCACGCAAATCTTCTACTTAAATGATTTTCCTTCATAATTGGACCAATTGACTACTTGATCTTCAATTATATGAAGTTTGAGAGATGGTGCTATCAAACTTCATTAGAGCAAATGCATGCATCATCAGTAACACCAAGAAATAAATAACACAACCCAACCATTACACAAATAAATTAATAAATAAATAAAAGGTATTAATTAGTGCAAGTCAACACACACACACACACACACACACACACACACAGAGTTATGGAGGGAGAGATGAACCGCCAACCACTTTGAAAGAAACTTAGTGAAGTGATAAGATTGTCTTAATAAACTTGAGCCGCGGTATAGTTTGTCGGTAGTCTTTGGCGTTTCTCCACGTAACCGGTTGGGAACCATCCAGCTCTGCCTCGGCATTCTCCTTCTGACCACCCAGATGGATTCACCTGAAACAAAAACGAGTCAGACTATGCTATATTACCATCTAGATATGACCATGGGTCGTGAACCGTCGGTTTACATGTCGAAATTTACAGTTCACCATAAGAGTAAGGATCCGGTTGGACATGTCCGCGGTATATTCCTATTCTCGACCCTTCACCGGCCTTTAAAACACACGATAACGAGCAGTTTCAATATGTCCGTTCACGGGTCGAAATTCTTTGTTTATTATTATTATTATTCAAAATAAATAGGAACCCGGCGGTTCACGGGTCAGACATATACGGACCCTTGACCGACCCTTAAACTACGGTTATGCTTCCGGTTATGGGATGTATTGACCATGGGTTGGGTCTGGGTCAACACGGAACTGTGGACATGTCTCGGCCTAGTTGGGATTTGGAAGCACCGGTTCCAATCCGGTTTAGCGGTTACACATATATAAGAATGCAAAATGAATTGAGTCGAGCAAAATACATGGTTGTTCAAGCTTGTTCGTACAATTATCAAGATTTTTAAGGTTGTCTTTGAGTTTGCTCTGATAAGCATTCGAGTCGAGCTCGAACGGCCTTCAATCGAGCTGACCATGACTCTAGCTTGAATAGCTTGATTTTTTATACATATTTTATCATTTATTTTTTATCAAGCTCGAATTCAGACGAGCTTTTAATGAACGATCCCGAACCGAATATCGAGTAGTTTGGTTTGAGTTCGACACCTAAACACGCATAGATAATTTTAAAAAAATTAGGCGGGAAACTCTCGGGGTAGGCGGTTCAACAAACCGATTTAGATGGTTCGTCCCGTCGGTTCGGTCAAAGCTTGACTGTTGACTAACGGTTTACTAATCTTAAACGTTGATCTTCAACGGTCAAACTATCAGGATCTTCAACGGTCAAACTCGTACATACACGAGCCATTAACTAGTTGACCCTATTAACTGCCATGTTTACCACGGGCCAATTCCGGTCTAGGTCCATGTAGTGGTCATGTCTATTACCATATACTAACATATGCATCAGGCCGAACACGCAATCAGAGACATAATATGACACAATGTTAAAAAGAGAGCATAACAAGATAAAAGGAAGGTATGCTACCTTTCGCACAACAACAAAATCCCCCACTGCCAAGCTTAGTTCTTTCTCCGATGCAGCATCAAAAGCATGCAATGCCTGCAAAAAAAAATAAAAATGGCAAGGATCAGCCTATCAGGTAAAGAATGTAATAGACTAGTATATAGTACACCTTTAAAAAAAATATAGGACAGAATTATGGTACATATCATTTCTTAGGTGAAAAACAGAGCTGTTGACAAAAATATTCTGAGATTTTAGCTTTCAGAAGAATAAAACGAGAATGATAAGAAAATTTTCGGAAGTCACTATACCATAGTCCTTTGTGCTTTGTGGAAATTTTAATCAAATCCCATGTCGTAATACAAATATTCAACATTACCTAAACTTAGGAAATTTAGTAAAGGCATTCTTTTATAATGAGAAGTTCATCTTTAACATACCTCAGCTAAAAAGTACTTTGTTTTCTCTGAAGTGTAATTGAGAGGAGCAACTGGAGGAGCAGCCTCTTTCCTCTGTTTCTCCGAGACCATCTATACCAAATTACGGACTCTGACATCAGCACAGTTGTAAAAACATACTTAACAGGAATCTGAGAAGGCAAACACACACCTCTGTTTCAATGTTACCAAGAATTGTTGCAACCCTCTCATGATATGTCCTTTCACCTTCAACCTGCAATTAGAAACTTCCTTGAAGCAAACGGTCCTTGCTTAATCATTGTAATTCTAATTTGCTTTCACAAGATTATCCCATATAGTATTAATACCATTGCTACAAGTCTCTGAAAAGTAAGTCTCTGCTGCTGCGATTCTACAGCAGCCAATGCCGCTGCTGCTTCTTTACCTAGTACTGCCATGTTTGCTCTGAGTTCATGCATTCTAGTTTCCGCTGCATGCAACTTTGCCACGTTTTCAGGAATAGGAGATTCCCTCACACGTGCTTGTCTTCTAGAAACTTCTGTCGCCTGCATATATTCGCTTCGAGTAAGTTGAATCATAAATCACCACCACCATAGGATTTCAAAACCTGCATTTTGGAACATTCTGGTATATAATAAACTCATGCATCTTCTGATTACCTGTGCTTCGGCTTCCTGTCTCATTTTACTATATCGTTGAGCAAGATGACGAGCATCTTCGAGAGGAGTGCCAATAATCATTGCTCTCAAGGGCTCTAAGACCTAAAAATAAAAAGAAACATCATCCATGATTGTGCATAAACAAACTGGGATTTGTTAGGTCATATTGGCCAGAATTACAGAAGTCCAGCATATTAAATAAGTGACGATACAATCCTCACCCAGCCACTCAAACAACCAAAAAAAATGTTTATTTTCTGTGATACCGATGGTATGGTAATGCATATGATTGGACACCCCCACATCAGTATCTCATGTGGTTGTAAAATATTCAAGAATGGCATGAAATATATACATCACCAGTTTACTGCTTGGAGATCTTAGCAATCTACTAAAACCATTTCTTAATATAACAAAAATCATTTTTTCTATACAAAATAAATAGTAACAAGAAAAGACGAAATTATTCACTTAACATTAGCCTGCTAGATACCACAAATCTCAACTTAGTCGGCTAGTTGTCCACTTAAGATTCCAATACTTCAGTCTGCATTATTCTATGTCAACCTCTTTCCCAACTCTGAGACATTAAAACCACGTGCATTAATAATTTCCTACGTGATACTTAGATATCTCATGTAGATTTTAGCTCCTCAACCTAGAATAAAGAGGGTTAAAATCATATCGGAACAGAATTTAAAAACATGCAGAAATTGTTTGTTATCCCCAGACCAATGTTCCATTGTAGCAAAAGAAAAGACTACCCCAGAGTTCCCATCATTCACCTTCTAAAGATACAAATTAAATCGTAACTTAAAACATTAGAATCTCCCTTCATTTCACACTTCGGGATCCCCTCTCCTCTCCCCCCTACAAGACCTTATAAAGTATTACAAAATGAATCCAATGATTGCCCTTAAAATTAATTTACCATTGAAATAGTTAATCGTACATACAAATCCCAATGAACAAAATCATAGGAGGTGATTAATGTTATAGGATGAAGCATCCAACCGACCTGTGTAAACAACAATCTATTGAAGTCATCTTGCTCCTTCTCCACGTGTTTACGAGCATCCCCATATATAGATGCAGTCTTGGCAAGAATCTCATCACCATCATTCTCTACACCAAATTTGGAACAATCTTCTGACAACTTGGTTCCTGACTACCATAAGACATAACACTAACTTGAGTACATTGTATATCCCTTGCTCATAGATTGCATCATTTGTATGAGTAAATATTAACAAACTAATTTATTGGCAACTATTTAAAGGCACACAAAATGAATAGCAGAATGAATAAACATTCACCAGCTTCTATATGTTTATATCCCACAGCACTGAATGCTTCAGCTGCTTTGACTATTTCTTTCTGAAAATCCTACAAAAGAGAAAACATGCATAGCTGAAACCAAGAGACACTGTGATACAAAACAAAACAAAAAAATCAAAGAATTATCGCTGATCCAGTCTGGATTGACCTCGAAACTAAATTACAGTACCAATCTTTCGTTGCATGAAGCTTATCTTGCCCACATCTCAGGATTAATGAAAATATAAAAAAATGGAAATAGAAATAATGTCGTAAATGTTCCTAAATCCAGTGGCTCTTAATTCGATAAAGAACAAAATGCATACATACTTGAAGGATATACTAGGTGGAATTTACTCAGGTAATCGGGGGAAAAAGGTAAAACTATGAAATTCAGATGAGGAAATACTACATTAAACCTTGAAATTCAGATCACTTCCTTTTGCATCGATATCTAAAATGGTAGTTTGTTCATAAATAAAAATCAAATATCAAGCACGAACTTTTCCGTCGTTGAGCTCCATAAATGAAAACTTAAAACAAGATCTAAGTGCGGCTGAGTTGAAATTACTTCTAATAATTATTCCTTATCATAATGTCCTAAATCCAGTGGCTCTTAATTCACATGGATACAATATCCACAGATCCTCAATCAAAGCAGTGCGGAAGAATAACAGAACAACCTTCGTGCACGAATTGCCATCTAATTTATCCACTTGAGCAATTAGTGTTCTGCAAGTACAGCTGTAGACCAGATTTTACTTAAATTACACGAATTTTTTCACTACTAAACGAACATGATAACCCTAGTACAGATATCCACAACGACGAGATAATATAATTACCCTTCCAGAACGAGTGGATCGGTACAATTTCTCCAATTGTTGATGCCTCTGCAGCTCAACCTCATCAATAACCATCATTTCAGAACTCTCATACCCACTCGCGCTGAACTGCTTTATCACAGCCTACAAAATCAAGCAGGAAAAATTCCACTATATGATTAATGGATTCATGATAGATTATATTTTCTTCCGTAAAACAGATTGCGAAAAAAGAACACGGGCGGCGGAACCTGTTGTTGTTTGGCTACTTGATCTCTGAGTTTACTCGCTTGCTTCCTCAAAGCATCCATCGCTGTTGCCTTCTCAGTTTCTCAATGTGCGTTGTGCTTGTAATTCTTCAAGCGGATCTGGATTTTTTTTTTTTTTTTTTTTTTTTTTTTGACCGTTGTGCCACAACGTAGCAGCTGTTCCGATCCAGACGAAGAAGGTGTTTGTCAAATCTTTATTTCGATGGGAAATTAAATTAACGCGAGGTCAGTACGAATTGGAAGGAACTGGACCATGTGGAACGGGAGAGATTCCATGTCGGCGACCACACTTTCCTTAATTTCTCCTCACCCCAATTTAATGGGATTAAGGTAATTAATTAATGTCGTTAAATTAGGGCCCATAAAAGCCCAAATACTTATAGCCCCCTAAAATTACTTAGTGGACTGGCCCAACAATATTTTGTATTTATCCCGATGAGGATTACATAATAAATCACGTTGAAAATTGGACTGGCCCAGCTAGGGGCGTAAATGAGCTGACCCGGCTCATGAGCTTGATGAGCCGGTTCGACAAAAGCTCGAGATCAAATTCGAATTTTTCGAGTTTGAACTCGAGTCCATCCTTAATTGTTTATAAGTTCATGAGCCGGCTCGTGAGCTTTTTTAGATTTATATATCCTTTTAATAAAAATATAATATTATATAACAATAAAACATGTAATATTCATAATATAATAGTAAATACATTTTTTAAAATTAAAAAAAAAAAATCAGTTTTACTTTTTATACTATAATTTTTTAGTATCATATGAGTTTTTAATAAAAAAAATAATATTAAAATTATGTAAAAATGAATAAATAAAATGAGTTGAGCTCGGACTCGACAAGCTCGAGCTCCTAAATTGAAAGCTCGATGAGCTCGAGGCCGAACTCGAAAAAATTGGTGAGCTGGGCTCATTTACAATCACCTAAGCCGAGCTATGTTTTAATTCTGAAATTGAGTGCATTCATGTAAAAAATCAGAAGAGCTCCTATTTATTACAGCATGATAAAAAAAAACCATAGGTATATGAAATGAATATGTAACTCAATTACTCCATATATTAATGAATAATAATGAATTGTTACTAGGATCATGCTGATGGCCGGAATCCCTTCATTTTTCCATGTCCATTTCACGTGGTGGGATAATAATAAAGTAATTATAGTATCAATAAATAATTAGTACTCAAAATTCTATAAATTAGTACTTAATAATACTCAATATAATAATTAGACAAGAGATGAACTATGGAATTTCAAAAGAATGCATACATGGATTGAAACCGTAAATAAACCTTTTAAATTCATATTTAACATCATTACTACCTGAACATTAACTTCTTAATTTAGACCTTTTTTATTAAAATTGGAATTTTATAAATAATATTTAATGATTTATTCTAATCTTTTTTTTTATTGTTAGTAAATAAATAGAATTCAACGAGGCCGATTTTTTTGGTAAAATGGAAATTAATTTTTAAATTAGAGATAAATAAGGAAGATATTTTAACCTTAAAATTTCAAATGAATAATAATAATAATAATCCATTTAAATTTGAATCTCCAATCCAAGAAGAAACAAAAAGGAAAGAATCAAATAAATAAATAAATAAATAAATAAATCCTCACCAATCGCCACCATCCTTTTGAAATCCACACACACACACACACACTCACACACAATTTCGCTTTAACCCAAACAACAGACAAAATCATCAAATCTAGAGAGAGAAACTATAGTGGTGGTGAGACTTTAGAGAGAGAGAGAGACTCGAAGCCGAAATTCAGCATACAAAATCACCAAGTTGTTGTGTGGGAGTGGAACTCAGTGAGTCACACAGCATGCCCTCAGGTCCGAAGAAGCGAAAAGCTGCGAAGAAGAAGAAGGGAAATCAGCCCAACAACCAATCCAATCCATCATCCTCTGTTTCCACTCGCTCTCATGGTACATAATTTTCGTTTTAATTCAAAACGAATGCACAGTGACCCTGTGTTTGAATGTATTATTTAAATGTTTTTTTTTTTTAAACTCTGCTGTTAGTGTTGTAATGATTTGGATTCGTCGGCCTGATTCATTTGTCATTCGTTGGTTTGTTTTTTTAATTGATAAAGATAAAGATACTCTATTGGATTCTTTTGGCATCATTTTCGCTTGCTCATCTGTCTTTGTGAATTTGTTCTGAAAGTGGGATTTTAAGCGTATTTGTTAGGGTTACTTGTGTAATTGAGATGCTTAATTCCATGTTGTTTCGGGTGAAGGCCGTGGATTAATATGCGTAGATGTAAACTAGAATACATATTGCTTTTTTTTTGTTGCAATGTACGAGCTCTTCATACTCTGCGGATTTGAAAATTAAGCGGCTAATTTATTTGCATTTTCTTTTTTTTGAATTGAACTGTTGTTAAACGATTCGAAATATCGTAGAGAAAAAGAATGTGAATCATCAAGGTAAAGAGGATCTTGAAAGACAAATCAAGACTGGGCACGATGAGGCGATGGTGAAATCTAGTGATGGAGGTTCGTCTGGGAGCTCTAGCAATAGCAACAGCAATTCGGATAGTGATATTGCTGCAGTTATTAATCCTGCGAAGATAGCCAATTCTTCAGCGGAAAGTTCAGCTGCTAAGGCTATCGATCATGTACCTGTCAGAGAGGCTAATGAAGATAAAGTCGTGTTGTCGACGACTTTGGCGAATGCAGCATTAGAGAAGAAGGAACCACTAGTGAAATCTGTTGACAACACTGCTGCAATTTTAGATCCCAAAAAATGTGTAACGCAAGAAAATGGCGATAGACTGACATTGCTACCCAATGCACCTAGAGCTAATGATGATAATGAGGCAGAAAACGAGAAAGGTGTCACTGAGGTATGGTATTGTGTTATATTATATGTCCTTTCTGATTACTTATTATCGTGTCTATTCTTGAGATGCAACATTATTTTGCACTAAACTATCTCTTTTTCGGTTTTTTTTTTTTGTGTGAACTTTTCTACAGCCTTTGCTAGTTCCTTCTCCATTGCCAGTGCAAAAAACATCTTGGAAGAGTTGTTGTGGTCTGTTTGAAGTGTTTTCTGGGTCTGGTTCATAATTCGAGGTTACTTTCCTTCTGAAGCTCTATTTATCTTTACATTTGTTACTTATGATAATATTAACAAATTGATTTTCATCATTCATGGAAGTATCTGCTAGGCTCCATGATTTCTTTATGGTAGATGGTACTTGAAACATCTTTTTAGCTATCATTCTGTCCGATGCATCTGTTACAGAGTGACATTAATCTTGAAGGCAATAAGAGCCCTGATTGGTAATATATATCTTGATACCACGAGTCCGAACTCGGGTCGAACTTTAGGAAGAACTATAAGTATATATTCAATATTTGTAACCGAAGAGAAAAATTGACGTATAATTGGTGTTCGTACAGAAACAAACAAGATTTGTTAAAGCCAATTGGACGGTAATAGAAACCATTTGTATTATCTCATTGAGCAAACCCTTTCGGAGACGAGTTCTATGCAAGCCCATTTATCACCTCCTCAGGAATTCATTATTATTCACAGATTGCACTGCTCACTTAATCTTCTTGCATCTCTTATTCTCTTTTACTAGAATGCTAAATCCTGGTACCTTATTGGTGCAGAAGCAGATACGAATGGGCTTCAAAGGATTGTGGATGAGGAATACGAGGAAGGAGCTCCAAAGAGATGCCTTGTGATAATTCTTTTTCTTCGTCTCAAAAAATAATAATGGTGAAAAAATTTAACGGGGCAGAGTCGGTTGATGAACTAAAGTTTCGATAGTAGTACGAGTCATGTGTTGGGAAGCATCTATCTGATAGTTAGTTACCATGAATATGATATGATGTCTTTTGATTTTGCAAGTGGATATATAGACTTGGAATGTTCTTTTGGAGTATTATTTTAATGGTTTGTTCCTACTTTTACTTTGTTCTTCTGTTGGTTGTGTGGAGGCAACTTTTTGTTGGGATTTTGAAGTATCATAAACATGTTTAATATAAATTATTAGCTAGTTCTGAATCATAGCACTTGCTGGTTCAGTGATCATTTTAAACGGTCAATCGTGACAGGTACCTTTCGTCGAGTTATTTTGGCGAAACAAAATTGCATCCAACTTCGACAAATATTTTCTTACCTGCATTTGACAAATATTCTCTTATTTGTTTATACAACATCGTAATTTGGGCGAATGCTTCACTCTCAGTCATCTGCATAGGAATAGGAGCTCATTTTAGTTACTTGCGCGCACATCAGTGTAAAAAACCCGAACGATTTACTCTCTTTTTGCTTTCGAACAGAACACTTGTTAAAAAACAGGGAATTCATCCTGGTCGACCGGTCCTTACAATCTAGTATGTCAATCCATCATTTACTTTCAACACCAGCTTCGGATATTTGATGACAAACTAAATTCAAGAACAAGTACTAGGAACAACTCGAACTCTTAACAACATCACAGTTTGCTTTTTCCAACTCCAAATGGCCCAAACTTTGTTATCTCAACTTAATTTTTTATCAGTTACAGTTACGAAATTCATCATTGACTTGCTATTACGTACACCAACTAAATTTCAACAGGCAAACTCAAGAAAATACTGAATTCAAATATCAAATATAAGTTCAAAACAACTGAAAAGTGTATGCAACAAATTCATGGTCAAATTCCCAAAACATAGATAATATTGCATTACAGAAACTAAAAATACTCTCAGGAAGCAAAATTTCCCAAAGTCCTAGAGAAGAAAGCTCATTCATCCTCTTGACTACGGAGACGGGCAAGCTTGTTGGTCACAACAACATCTAGCTGCGCAGCACGCTCCACAATCTCCTTCCTCTTCCTTGTCGAGATATTGTGAGCAATTTCAGCACAGTAAGTCCTGTTTCAGAGTTGCACAAATCAGAAACAATTAACCACACGGGATGATTTATTCACTGGAATTTATCAATATTTCAGATTCCCGTAAAAATTACCTGTTGTGCATCATGAGAACCTCGAGCTCCTTGACATTGTGCACGAGAAACTTCTTGAAACCGTTGGGCAGGTAGTGACGGGTCTTCTTGTCAGAGCCGTATCCAATGTTGGGCATCAACACGGATCCTTTGAACTTTCGCCTGACACGGGAATCAATACCCTTGGGTCTACGCCAGTTTTCCTGTCATGGATGAATTGCACAGTAAAAAGTTAGTTATCGTACTCTAATTCAACAATCAAAAGAAACAATATCAATCGAACATATAAATATGGAATTAAAACAAGACTCTGTTTTTATGTAGGCAGGAATATAGTAACAGAAAGCTTATTGGTAATGAAGCTATTCGTGTCGCAGGCCTGTTCCCAAATTCATTTACGCCCAACAAAACGAAATCACCAGAAACAAAATATAATTCTGGAAATTAGATACCATGGGCAAATACATTTTACACTGACTTCTAATACCACCAACTACAAATAAAAGCAAAAAAAAAATCATATGACAACAGTCTCAGCCGAAAGATGGTGAATATATTTATGATAATCACTGGAAAAATCAGCTAGTTTTTTTAATAAATTCATCACAGACTGCTTGACCAGATCTCAAAATTTGAAATAATACAGATAAATATATACACACACATACAAATAAGCAAGAGAGATCAGATGGTAGTGCATGGTTGTATAATCATCATTCAATTACAGATAGGTGTATGGTTTGGGTATCATCACGCCTCTTCTTGCAAAATCTCAACATACAAAAAACATAACAAAGAAAGAAAAAAGGGGCAACATATACACACAGAATAAACGAAGAACATTTTTCCGAGGAATCAGATAAAAACGTCAATCACCACATTACATCTACAAGTAGATGCAGATTAAGACTGGGGCGACAAAATTACTATCATCATATTCCGCTAAGAACCCTAATTCTGGAGATTAATAAATTGAAATGAAAATACCTTGACGGAGACGAATCGATCGCTCTGGGTCCTCTTGAACTTCTTGACCCTCTTCTTGATGATCTTCTTACTGAGAAGTGGGACCGCCATTGCTACTCACCTTCTGCAACAACAAAAAATCGTAAACAATAAGACGCTAAAAGGAGCAGATCTGTGTATATGATATGAAGAGTAGAGATGAGAAGAGAAGGCGGAGAATTTGCTTCGGCGGCTTACTGGGAGAAATTAGGGTTTGGGTTTTCTCGTCCGCCGCTCCGGTTTGCAGTAGGGTTTACTACCAAAGGTTCAATGGTTGGTTTATATAGGGGAAATGAGGGTGCAGTTTAAGTTCTCTGTAGGTTAATGCACACTACCAAAACTTATCCCCTTTATTTTTTCTTTTCTTTTCTTTCCTTCAGGTTATACATAATTGCATATAAACCCCGTTATATTTGAAACATTTACTCAAACCTAATTAAATTTGAAACATAAACTTATCTTGAGATTTCTTACTAATTTCTCAAATTTGATGGGGTTTAAGTGTAATTATATAACTTTTGAGGGATATGTGTAGTATAATTTTATTTTGTACTCTGACTTAATTTTATTATTATTTATTTGCACACATAAGTGTTATTGAAATTTATTTTATTAATTTCTTATAATTAAAAATAATTATTACTTTGTTTTGGTTAAATATTTTTTATTGCAACTTCAGAAAAAAAAATATTAAAAAAAATGTGTTTATAGCAATTGTTTCTTAGTCCAATATATTTAGGTTTGGCCCACTTTAGCCCCTAAAGCCACAGGCCCATTTCCAAACTGGACCAGCTATATATACATATAAGAAGTTAATCTCTGTCTAGTGTAATAAAATGCATTTCTAAACACTTCAGTCTAAGCATTAATCTGTAGCATCCAATACACAAACCTTGTTGACAGGAGTAGCATCCAAACACCAATAAATCGAAGAACAAAACTCGTAACAATTGGGAGATGTGGGGACCACATCAACCCAATCCTTCTCGACCAACTCAACGTACGAACTACAACTAAGAACAGCTCGGAACTGAAGCTTGTTCGTCTGTTTCACTAACTTCCTCAAGAAACTCATTGAGAACACCACTTCAAAATCTTCTTCCGATGACATATCTTTAAACAAACGAATTCCCATATTCGATTTGCAAGATTCAACAAGCCCAACAAGGCTGTACTCATCTTCCCGACTTTTATTGATTTTCGAAATCTGCAAATTTAAATATTATTTATTGAAACAATGTTGTTAAAAACAATGTGAAGAGGCCAAGTAATTCGGTAGCAGCATATATCGTACCTCAATGTACTCGACGCCCGTTTCACTTAATTGATCTAATAATGACTCGTGTGACGAAAGTAAGGTAATAACCCCTCCGGATCCGATTGGTCTTCGGAGGAATTCCCATGGCGACTTCATTAGTATTTTATGCTTGCCTTGTACGTCAAGCAAGCTACTAACAAGAGGAAGCTTCTCTTCTTCCAAAAACCAGACCTGTTATTTTACGTGATGAAAAGGCTGCTTTAATTAACTTTGCATCTAAACTCCTCTAATTATACGACAAAAAACCAGTGTACATGAAGCAAGTACTCAAACCTTTTCGGGATCAAATCCTAGGTAGTCGTGCTCCAAGAACAAGTTTTGCAGAGAACTGACAGCACCAGCAGAACTAACCAAAATCAGAGGCACAATTGAGCGATCTTCGATCTGCAATAATCAAGCAATTGATTTAGATAATATAGCAAATATCAGTTGCTTCAAAAGGCATACTCTTTTGAAAATATCTATAATGTGTGTAAATATCAATGCCGACAAAATTTTGATGATTAATACCTTTCTAAAGTTAAGACTATAAGAGAGGGAAACGAAAGCATGTCTCGACATTACCTTAGCAGAACTCCGATGATTATCTAGTAATGCTTTTACAAGCAGATATGCATTCTCATTTTCCTCCGAAGTCTTTTCAATCTCAATGTCATCCAGTACTAAAACTAACGCGACTTTGCCTTTACAAGTCAAAAGGCAGCCTTCTTTTTGCACTTTAAGATATGAATCAGACACTTTCCCGGTTCCAGTAGAGCTTGTACTATTGGATACTCTTAAAGTATTCGATCTCGGCACATCGTTCAAAATGTCGAGCAAATTTGGCCTAAATCACAGATGGAGAGATTAAACATATCATAATATTGACCAAAGTTTGGTAAAGTTAATGAGCACAGCCTCACTGTTGAATTCTCGACAGAAGTTCTAAAGCAAATTTATACCTTGTAGATGGGATCGCAATATTTTGCATAGCATGTTGAAGCAGCTTGGAATTTAGAGTAACTATTTGATCTGCAAGCAAGCTCCTTTGGTCTTTCTCTCCATACCTTAACCCATGAAACACGTGTTGCTGTTCCATTTCAACTAGTTTCTTTTTGGCTGCTATCAATCGTCTTTGCAACTTCTTTCTTTCTTTCCATTCCTGGTGCACACAACGCAAAACACATGATCAGGACTTGGCAAATGAAAGATTAGGAAAATCAGATTGAGTCGAAAAAATTATTTTACGGCTATCAGTTAAGAAGTTAAAATGACACAGCGTATATAATGCAAACTTCAGGAACTAAGATAGGCAAATAAATAGCACAACAAATAGGAGCACAACTCACAAGCTCGCGTCTCTCCTTTTTGGTCCTGTCGTCAGAGCGGATATTTAACTCCAAGAGCCCCTTTGGAGGTGTAATCAACATTTCTCTCTTTTCAAGATCAACTGTTGGAACAATTGCTTCAACAAATGGAACCCATATTAGTGGACCCGAATCCCCTGACCCGGTTTCCGATTTTCCAATCTGTTCAGTAGTGCTTCTCGATGAGTTAAGCTTGACTCGCAGAAGATCATTTGCTCCACTATTGAAAACATTGACAACAGTTCCTACTGGTTCCCCCGATTCCTAGTGAAAAATACAATGGATCAAGAACTGAAACTTAATCACAAGAAATAAATTATATAAAGTCGCGATTAACTAATGATGGCCTAAATGATAATTGAACTAATAATATTACATACACAACTTTCTTCCGAAACCACAAACCTTAAGAATAAGTTTCATTCCAATAAGGTCCTGAGTATAGAATTCGCCTTCCTCTAGGATAGGTCTATCTTCATCGGTCACCAATATAGTTGACCCCACAAGTTTTTGTGCCTGAACAAAAACGGGATGAATTAAAGCCTCATCGTATTGTGACTGCATTTATTATTGTCATACTCGAAGAACAGTTAGACTTTCCACACCTGTTCCGACGTATCGATGTTATTAAACCTCACAATCCAACTTTGTCCAGGGTGGCCTCTGCCCTCCACCAGTTCAATTTCTTGAAGAGTCTCGGTTCCCGAAACTTGCTGCTTCAACCATCTTGTTCCTGGCTAGAGAGGATAACGGCCCTCATTTAGAAAATATTTATTGGAAAATCACTCTCATTATCAAATACAATGAAATTATGCTTAGTTGTTTTTTTCCTGCTAATCTTACCTTGGAAAATCGCAGATCGGGAAAATCGGTGCTCGTTTTCACTCGAACCTCTCCATGGAAGCCATGAACACCAAAAATGTACCCGGTCTCGATAAGAGTTGAAGCAGACGAAGTAGCCTCCACAAGCTCTTCAGCAGCGGAAACTGAAACAACGAAGATGCACATAAACGAAAACAGTTTTCGACAGGTTAAATTATACAAGTAAACATTCCAGCACACACATATAGAATCTGTAGTCTAATATTAACCAATTACTGTTGGCAAAATCTCGTCTCCACCATTAGCAACAGAACCACAGAATAGGATAATGTAATTCAAAGAGAAAATAACAACAAAATTGATAGTATCTGTTCAAAGATTCATGCCTTCTTACCCAGCTACAAACAATAAATACAGTTTCCCAAAAATCCAAGCACAACAAACATCAACCACTAACTAAACCCCACGAATTCGTTACACACGAGTGAGTAACTCACACGGCGAGTGGGTAACTCGGCATAAATGTTAATAAGTAGTAATTTCAACAATCCCAAGTAATGTAGAAGTGTTACCAGTAGACTGAATCGCGAAGCGAGATATTGGGCGTGTAGGGAGAGAAGAGAAGAATGGTAATTTGCTTGAATGCGAGAAATTGGGGGCGGAATTGGTCGGTTTTCCTGTAACAAGTGCAGATGGCGGAGAAATTGGGAAATGAAACGAGAGAGAAAGGGAATTTGAAGAACAACAGAGAATCGAAGGGCTCTGCATAATGTTTGCTGCTGGTAAAAAACTGAGGGAGATGCTTCGGTGCAATTGAGTTGATGATAAAATCAGCAACCCACACTTGATGCACGGAGTACAACTCTGTATGCAATAGATTATAAACGGGAAAATTACAGTTCTAACCCCTCCAGTTTGCACTATTTACATATTTGGTCCTTCATGTTCACAAAAAAAAACCATTTGGTCCCTTATATCTCAAAACTTCAACAACTTTAGTTGTTTTCGTCAATTTTTCGTTAAAACTAACGGAATCGAGCATGTGCTCATCACTGTCTTATCTAACGGACTAATGGTAAATTGGCGGAAATACCAAATGTGTTATATTATTAGAACACTAGGGACCAAATGTTTTTGTGAAGATGGAGGACAAAATGTTAAATCGGTTCAAACTTAAGGGATGAAAACTGTAATTTTTTCGATTATACACTAATGTAATTTTCGTGAGGCCTTCCAAAATCGGATTGAATTTTTGCATTCCGATTTTTTGAAACAAAAATTGAAATACATTGTTTACTTTCGAAAAAATAAAAATAAAAATTCGGAAAAACCATTTTCGATCCATTTCATGCAATTTCCAAACCTATTCTTATACTTTAGTCTAAATTTGCTGTCGAGATTCAAACTTTGATAATACTAATATAAATAAAGGCGACGTATATATGCAAGCCCATTTTTTTATTAGTTCAAAACTTCATATATAAAAATATTAATTTATCCTTAATGAAATTTAAAACCAAATAAAAAACATAAATCATAAAATAAAATAAAAAAATCGGCGTTACAACGCCGATTTTGACTTGTAAAGTCAGCATTGTGTCGCCCATCATGTACAAAATCGATCTGGATAAACCGATTTGGGAAACCAACGAAAGCACACACAAAAATCAATTTCAATCTCAATTTTTTTTCCAAAATCGGCTAAAGTATTGCAACCCAACAAGAAGTAAGCACAAATTAATGTTCATCCACCCATATTTATCAAGAATCGATGCTCGATTAATGTTTTTGAATTGACAAACAAAAGTTTAGTAAAAAGAATTTGTCGGTGGTGGTGGAGGTGGTACGGTGGGTGGGTCGCTCGTCGTCGCCGGCGCAGTGGAAGTCTCGCTGGTCGTTGGCAGTCTAATGGTCGGCAATTGTGAGTTTTTTCTATTTTTTTTCTATCTATTTATTTATTTCTATTTTTTTTTGCTTTTTTTTTTTTTTTTGGTCTTGAACAAATTAAAAATAGAGTTTATTTGTATTTGGGTATTATTTATTGATAAGGTATATCCGTACTGTTTCATCTTGATGTAATAAAATTAAATTAATTTACGGGCTTCAACTAATAAACTCATTTATATGGATTTGAACTAATAAAAAAATGGACTTGCATATACGCACCGACATGAATAAATTCTCGCATTAAATCCAACATGAAATTGAAGCACTTGAAAATCCAAACGTCGTCGTTTCATCATCGCCGCCCCTATTTTCCTCCACACATCAAATCAAATCAAACTCTATAATCTTTATTGGGCAGGACAGAACCGCTAAAAATAATTATTAATTTTTCCTCTTAAAGAAATAGTTTTTTTTTTTCATGTCAGTGGGCAAAATTCTAAACTTTATCCAATTATCCCATGTGAAACATTTCATAATCCTCGTATTTATCCCAAGTTTGATTTTTTTTGTTCCTAGTTCATGTCCAGTCACCACCTCAACTACCCCATGCCAGAAACAAAAAAATAAAAATCCAATCTTGAAATTTGATTATTTCAGGAGAGGAAATTAAACCCTGTTTAGATGGATTTCTTTCCCCTTTTCTGCCAATTGAATTTTCACGTGGATGCCAAATCAACAATTAAATCGAATTAAAAAAAAAATCACCCCTCCCCCACTCTTTTATTAACTTCCCTCTCTTCTTACCTTCTTTCATTTCGGTCGTCAAATCATTCCCTGCTGTTTTCACTGCCTTCTTCGGCTCTTCCACCCCACCCCTCCCCACCCCCACCCCCACCCCCACCCCCATAGGTGTATTTAATTTGTTGTATGTACATGTGTAAGTATTAATTGAGAGGACAAAAGGGGAGAAAAATTTAATAAAAAAAGAAGAGTGGAGGGTTCTTTCTATATACGTCTCTGTTGCCCTGCATTTCGTGTTTATCCTTGTTCTCCTTTCTGGGTCAAAATTTGGTGCCGTTTGGGTTTTCTTGAATAAGCTTTCGAGGTACATTTGTGCTTTTTAACTTTCTTGATTATATGTGTTTTGTGCATTCTCTGTTTTTTTCTCGCTTGAAAATGATGAGTGTGTAAAGTTCTTCGGTTGTTCGTTTGAAAAATATTGAGTTTTTTTTTTTTTTTTTTTTTTTTTATGTATGACTTTGTTTGATAGTACTTTTCATTTGGAGGTCCAATAGGGTTTTACTTCATTGTTAGGTTGATTGGGTAACATGGTCTTGAAATTCTTGCATATCCAAAATCAATTAGAATCATCGACAAGTTCTTGAATTTTTTGGTACTGGGTTTTTTGCTAACTACTGAAGTCTGTCATTTTACTTTGTGATTTTGTGTTCACATCCAAGTTTCGAGCTTTTCGCTGCATCTGTCTGTTTTTTCGCTTAAAATCGGTCTGCATGTTGATCGTGAGTGTTGCATTGATTAATTACCGTGTTTCGATTATTGTCTTAATAGGAGTAGAGTGTTGTGTCGATGAACAAGAATGGATATAAATTTCATACATTGTGTTTATGTTTGGTATGTGTACTGATTCTTCTTTACTAAGAGTTATGTACTTTGACCTGCAAAAAGTTCTTATCAATTTTATGGTGAAGATCTTTTATCAATTTTCAAAAAAAATTCAACAAGTTTTCTTTTTTCATGTGTATCGGGAAATCGGATAGCACAATGATTGTAATGTGTAGTAGATTTTTCTTAGTTCCTTAACTCTTGCATTTAAGTTTGGTTTTTGAAAACTCCGAATCCGTTTTTTCTTCTTTTCGACTTGTAGTGCTTGTGATATAAGAAAAACACGTGGAAAGATGGAGGCGACATTAATGATGAGCTGTGTCTCCATGATACGTGATATATATGAAGTGTAAACTAACTTGCTTACGTGTCACTGCACTGGATTTGACTCACTGCTCGAATCGCCCACGTGGAATCTAACCACGATCCCATTTATTGCTTTTCTCGTTCATGTTGTGATTCTTATTTTTTGCTGAAAGTTAAATCCCATGCAATAGTAACCCTAAGTATTCAATTTTAATGACCTGTGCAGAAAAAAATACTTAGCCGACAAACTGAATCCGTGGTTGTTGCTTTGAACGACTTCGACAAATCTATCCATGCAAATGGGAACTAGCACGTGGGAATTGTTTCCCCAATCGGACTCTCTTTTCTCAACTTCATTGCCTGTTCTTTCCCATAATAAGTGTACTTTACAATTCTAAGCTTAAGTACCTTAATTACCCCTTAAGCACGGTCATTTACTTGAAAAAAAAATTGTTTTGGTCTGTTACAGTTGGCCTCAATGAACTAAAGCACGATTTCCAATCTGTGGATGACGCCTCTATGAAGAAAAATCTTGAAAATGGTGATAATAATGAAGTGGGAAACTTACTCCCCGATGACGAAAACGAACTCCTAGCTGGCATGATGGACGATTATGATATTGGTTGGTTGCCAAGTCTTGTAGATGAATCCGAAGAATACGATCTTTTTGGCAGTGGGGGCGGTTTGGAATTGGAACTGGAATCCGATTCTCAAGAAAAATCGAGAATTGGCTTATCTAATCTTTCGATATCTGATGACAGTGCTGCAAGTGGATTGGCTTCTTCCAATCTCACTAACGGTGTTAATGGAGAACACCCTCTTGGCGAGCATCCTTCTAGAACGTTATTCGTTCGCAATATCAACAGTAATGTTGAGGATGCAGAGCTTAAAACTCTCTTTGAGGCAAGTCTCAGTGTCTTTTTTTTTTCTGACTTGTGAAATGGAATAACTAATTATTAATTTGTGTGCTGTTCTGTTAATTTTTTCAGCAATTTGGTGATATCAGAACACTGTACACTGCGTGTAAACATAGGGGTTTCGTGATGATTTCGTACTACGATATTCGTGCTGCTCGATCTGCTATGAGGTCGCTGCAAAATAAGCCGCTTCGAAGGAGAAAGCTCGATATTCATTTCTCGATACCCAAAGAGAATCCATCCGACAAGGACATTAATCAAGGGACTTTGGTCGTGTTTAATTTGGATCCGTCGGTTTCCAACGACGATCTTCGGCAAATCTTTGGGGCTTATGGCGAGGTGAAAGAGGTAACCTATTTTTTCTTTATTAATTTTTTTTTTGTCAATGGTATTTTATACGCATGCCTTTTTTAAAAGCTAGCATCTTCATTTTGAAACAGATAAGGGAAACACCGCACAAGAGGCATCACAAATTTATTGAATTTTACGATGTTCGAGCTGCGGAATCTGCACTTAAATGCTTGAATCGAAGAGATATTGCTGGGAAGCGTATAAAGCTAGAACCTAGTCGCCCTGGTGGGGCCCGCCGAAGGTTTATATCTTACCCTTTTAATTAATATATTAAGTAAACAAAGCAGACATTTTTATGCTTCTTTCGCCTCTTTAGTTGCCATTTTATTATCATTAAAGGACGTTTTTCGTGCATTTTAATTTTTTTGTTTCCTCTTCAGTTTGCTGCAGAATATAAACCACGATCTTGAACAAGACGAAAGGAATTTGCACCAAGTGGGTTCGCATGGAAACTCTCCCTCTGGTACGTCGCCTCACGCGAATTCAGTTATTGCTACAATCGACGTGCATTTTCCTCTTTTTTTTCTAGATAGGTTTATATGTTATGCACTCGTTTCGACAGGTAACTGGCCACAGTTTGGCAGCCCTATGGATCGAAATTCTATGCACAGCTTCGGTAAGTCACCCGTTTTCAGCTCTCTTAGTCCTCCATTAGGCAGCAGTTTACCTGGATTAGCTTCAGTTCTGCAACCTCAAGATTGCTCTCGTTTGGAACACGTATTTTCGAACGGATATTCGAACTCTCGAGAAATCTTCGAACAATCTCATTCTTTCCCAGAGAAGATGCTGCTAAGTCAGTTTACTGGATCTTCTACCCAACCATTCTCTTGGGGAACTCAAACTACGAGACAAAACCCTTTTATACCCTTTGACAACCGAGTCGGTTATTTTCACGAGTCCCCCAAAATTTCATTTATGAGTCACAGTTTTGGTAATATGGGTTCTCGTGGAGCTTTAAATTCCGCCGTTGTTTCAAGAAAATCGATGGAAAACGATTCTCCTGTTTTTAGTGTGATGTCTTCTCCAAGAGAAAGTCCTATGTTTTTGGGTAACGGTCATTTTTCTGGAAATTTTGAGGGTTTGGCTGAATTTGGAAGGCCCCGACGAGTTGAAAGCACCGGAGTTTACATAGATAACAAGAAATTGTTTCAAATTGATCTCGACAAGATTCGAAGTGGTGAAGACACTCGAACGACTCTCATGATTAAAAATATTCCCAACAAGTAAAACATCTTTTCGAGTTACGTCTTTTAATGACAGATTTTGTCTGTAATATCGAAATTCACATAACTTGTGTCGTCCTGTCTTTTCCAAGGTACACTTCGAAGATGTTGCTCGCCACCATTGACGAATATCATAGAGGAACTTACGATTTTCTTTATTTGCCCATTGATTTCAAGGTCGGTTTCTGTACTATATTACTTTTTTTGCAATTCTTTTGATTTGTTTAGTTTTAAATAATGAATCTGACACGTCACTTCGTTTCTTGCCAGAATAAATGCAACGTGGGCTACGCGTTTATCAACATGCTGTCTCCATCAACCATTATCCCCTTTTACGAGGTTTTTTGCTTCTTTATATTGATATATTTTGTCTCGAAATATTTGTTAATGGTATAACAGAACTTAAATTTTTTGCTCGACTAACGACAGGCTTTCAATGGGAGGAAGTGGGAGAAATTCAATAGCGAGAAAGTTGCTTATTTGGCCTTCGCTCGTATTCAGGGGAAAACGGCCCTCGTTTCACATTTCCAGAATTCGAGTCTGATGAATGAAGATAAGCGATGTAGGCCAATACTCTTTACTTCAGAACGCCCTGAGTTGAACAACCGTAGGTAAAAAACGTGTAGAAATGCTAAGATATTTAATATTTTAATAATGCTGCTTTTATCGACTTGGCATCTTTTTAGTTACACGGGTTAATATGGTTGCTGCAGATGATGATCCAAGAAAATAGCCATGCGATCGAGCAAAGAAGAGATAGCGATCGTGCATTATTACATCAGCTTTTTTATTTATTGAATTATTATATATATAACTTCTCCGTTGATGGAAAATTTTTGGGACGAGAAGCATTTCTATGTTTATGTTTTGTCGATTTTTTTTGTAATGGTGAACCGTGCGTGTAAATATTGGTCGTCGTCTTAGGGTTTTTGTTTTAAGGTAAAAATGTTGAAGGATATTCAACCTTGAATTTTGTAGCAGTTTTTTTGGTAAATTAGAGTTATGGAGGTTTATTGTTTTGTGGATCAAGAATTGTAAGGATGACGTGTCTTTGAATTTTGATGACGACATCATTATGGAATATTTCAATTTTGAGTGGAAATATATTTTTGAAGTATACTCGCCGGTGCTCTGTCGGCGGCAGTCGCGTCGCCGCCCTCTCGTGTATGTATCTTCTTCCATTTTCTTTCACCTGTTACGCAGTTCCGGCGAAGAAGATTGACGGGATTAAGTAGTTAAACACACGTGATTAAGTATGCCAATTTGATGAATAATTTAGTTATAACTTATAAAGCCAAACTGAACACACTAATCTGAAGATTAGAGTGATGAGAAATTGTAAATTGAATAATGTTCAAAATTGCATGTCCAGGAGCGTGTGACGCACGCTCCATAGATGGCTAGTAACGCAGTCATTTTTCACACGACTCTCTCTCTTTCCGCAAAACAGAACGTGTCATTACGTCACTGTTGTGGGTCCAAATATCCACGCGGCAGCCTCTCACAGGCTTAGCCGCACTTCCCAACTCTTACATCAGAATTCAGAAACATCACTTGAGCACGGGTAAGAATCAGGTAAAACGCACCTTATAAACCCATGCTTCCCAGCTGTTGTACATTTAAGACGGAGCCTGCCCTTCTATTTGTTATTATTTCCTTGTAATTACTTGGTCCTCGGATTCTTTAGGTAATTTATCAATACCCCCAAATTATGGTTAAATATCAAAAAAGCCCTCAAATATTCATAATGATCAAAAAGCCCGTTTGACTAATAATTTATCAATTTTTTATCAAAAATATGTTAGGTTTATGGTGCCTTTGAGTTAAATAAAAAGAAAAAAAGGTAAATCACCGAAATGCTTAGATATCCATAATCCAGAACTTTTACAATTTCTATTCGTATATTCTCTTCATGTGAAAATAATTATTTCTTTTGGAGATTATCTTTGAAGGTTTGAAGAATCAGACGATCATCTGCAAGAAGATTAGTGAAATTCTGACGACTTTTTGTTCATATTTATAATATCACTATTGTTATGTGTTCTATAGGATAGGTGAAGTACAAAGAAAATTAGAATTTCCAAATTTCGTCCGTTTCAAGCCAAAAAAACAGAATAATATTTTTATTTTCATTCCATCTTTTTATTTTCATTTTTTAAATGAAATTAGAATTAGTTATGCACTTTCGAAAATATTATATTTTTCAAAAGGGGACAACTATTTTAAATCCCAACTTTTGCTTACTTGAATACTACCAAGTTTAAAACCAAAATTGAGTACATATTTATCAGTTTTTTCTTACTTTAATACCAAAATAAAAAGAAAAGTACAAAAACACCCTTTCATACAAAATATCAATTATATCAAATTTTTTTAGAAATTACCTATTCAAAAACCAAATAAAAAAAAAAGAAAAAAAACCCTTTGTTGTAGAAAAAAAAAACCTCCACCATTTATTCTCCTCTCCAACCCTCACCTCCGCCGCCGCCGCCGACGCCGCCGCCGAACGCCACCGTACGTGCTCGTAACTGCCGCGACAACCCAATTAAACCCTATCTTTTTCATCTTCTTAAATCCTCCAAAACATCTCCAAATTCAAAAAATCAAAACCTCACAAAACTTATAAAATGGAGTTATAAGACAATAATATGGTAGTATATGTGGAAAGAGAAGCCATTAAGGTAAGTATCGATGTGTTTTTTGAGCTTCGAAGTCGATTTTGAAGTTTTTTTTTTTGAAACCGCGTCGGCAATTTTCGACACATACAGGTCGATTTTTTGGTCAATTTTCGACACCAACGTGTCGAAAAAAAAAAA